AGGGATTGTCAAAACAAAGGTCACTGGGCTAAATCTGTCATGTGCCCCAAGTCTTCTAAACCAAAAGGTGACCCTGTTGATCCTGACATGAAAATTATTGATGAATCTTCTAAGCTTGGTTCCGCCACTAAACCAACTCTTAAAGTTATTTCAGCTGATCAAGAACTATCCGTTACCTCTGATGTCTCTGTCAAAGCCATCACCATTCCTAGTGTTGGTAAGCACTACTAGACTGATTTTATACTTGGTAACCACAACTGGAAGCAAAAATGCATGATTGATCCTGGCTCCAACATTAACTGTGTCGGTTGTGATTGGATTACCCGTTTTGACACTCCTGAGTGGTCATACAATCTTGAATGTGGTTCCATCAAGACAGCTGGAGGTCATAACTTGGATGTCAAAGCTCGAGTTCTCCTAAAGATTTCGTGGCCTCCAGAAAATCCCACCATTTCTGCTGATCAGTGGTTCTATATTGTTCATGGTAAAGATGGTATTATCCTTGGTACTCCTGCCTGTCATGCACTTGGTGTGATTGATGATGACTGGCCAATTTCTACACTACTTCAGAACCTTAACCATCCCTCATCAGTGAATACCTTCGACGCATCAGAAAACAACCCTCAGATATGTGACAACAAACCGACCGAAGTCGACCATCCAGTTCCAAATCCTCCCACGTCTGATGATAAACTTTTGTCTGATTTGAATTGGCAACCTACCTCCTGTCCTTCTGAATCATCAGTCAAAGTCACTTCTGTTATTGCAAATGGACAGAACATTAACTATACTGAGGACACAAATTTCACTCCACTTTTGCAATCTTATAATGATATTTTTGATGACATAATTCTCCCGGAGATGAAAGGTGATTCCTTCAAGATTAATCTCAAACCTGATGTTCAACCCTACGCCCAAGCGAACGCAAGAAAAATCCCGATTCCCTACATGGATCAATTTAAGAAGCAACTTGATGAAATGGAACGTCTTGGTGTTACAGGTATCTCAGTCCATGAAGAGCCAAGCACTTGGTGTCATCCAATCGTTATTGCACCTAAAAAAGTTAGTGACGAACTGAGAATCTGCATTGACTTCACCCACCTAAATAAGTTTATCCAGCGTGAATTCCACTCATGTAAATCAACCTTCGAAGCTGTGACAAGCATTCCTGTTGAAGAGCTCAAATATTTCAATTCTGAAAATGTGATGCTCGTCATGGCTACTGGCAAATTCCACTGCACCCTGAGTCTCGTCCCTTAACCTGCTTCATCACACCTTTTGGTAGATATGTGTGTAATCGAGCCGCATTCGGAATCAGCAGTATCAGTGAGTGTACAACAGTCGCATGGACAAAGTTGTCAATGGCTTACAAGGCATCCGTAAGATCGTAGATGATGTTCTCGTCCATGCACCAACCTTCTCTGCTTTGAAGAAACGTGTCCACGCCTTACTAGACCGATGCTCCACGCATGATGTCACACTGAAGCGTCCAAAGTCCCAGATACACCTGTCACTGAAGCTGATTTTGGCGGATTTCACCTGTCAGAATTGGGCATCCAATGCAATACAGATCTCCTTAAGTCCATCCGCGATTTCCACGACCGAAGAATCTTACTGATCTACGCTCCTGGTTTGGTCTGGTGAATCAACTTGGCCATTTTTTCCCAAGGGATAACACAAATCATGGAACCTTTTAGCCCTCTGCTTCAGAAGAACTCATGTTACCTCTGGTTGCCAGAACATGAGCAAGCATTCAACGAAGCTAAACGTCGCCTTAGCTCACCACCTGTTCTAACCTACTTTGCTGTCAACCGTCCAACTTTGTTCGCCACTGATGCATCTCGTCTGCACGGTCTTGGTTTTGTTCTTCTACAAATGGTTGACGGTGTATGGAAGCCTGTTCAAGCGGGTCCCAGATTCTTGACCCCCAACCGAAAGCCGCTATGCTGTGATAGAGCTGGAAGCTCTTGGTGCTTACTGGGCCATGAAGAAATGTGATATGTTCCTCCGGGGTCTACCTCACTTCAAACTCGTCACCGATCACCAACCCCTTATTCCCATCCTGAATTCGAAAGGGTTTGCTGATGTCGAGAATCCTCTCCTGCAACGCCTCGTGATGAAATTGCTGCCATATATGTTTACTGCAGAATGGATTAAAGGCAAAGTTGATGAACCTTGATGAACCTTGATGACCCGTTGATGAACCTTGTCTTGAAGATGAACTATGCGAGTCGCATGCCGAAGCTGCTGTGAATGTTCACTTTGTTGACAAGTCAACTACTGCCAGTCAGCTTCAGGAACTTTTACATCACCAACACAGGGCGAAGAAAAAGATTTGCACTAGGCTTTGCAACCCGGTGCAAAGGTGCCATTGCCGTAATCGCATCAAATTTGCAAGGTTGCAAATATTTTGGCAAATTTAGAAACCAAATTATGTACGTAAATACCCACAAATTCACTTGTGCAAATGAAAGGTAATTTGAGCCAAATTTATCCTATACCCATTCCCTCTCAAAAAAGAGAATTGTATTTACCAATATGAGGGTAAGAATCTATTTACCAATTTGCTTTCCAAATTTGAACAAAATTTGCACAATAGCAAATTTGATGCGATTACGGCAATGGCACCTTTGCAGGGGGTTGCAAAGTTGGTGCAAATCTATTTTTTCGTTTTGTGCAACAAGCCGATGATACACTCTTGAAAGTCATCCATTATGTACAAATTGGGTGGCCTGAAATGCGAAATGAAGTCGAAGAAGAAGCACGCCCCTTTTGGTCCATTCGTCATGACCTCTACATGGCGTCTGTTGGAGAGAACTCTATCTTATTAGGAATGGCAGAACTGTCATCCCCACCCAACAACAAAAGAAAACATTAAATAACCTTCATGAAGGGCACCAAGGGATTGAAAAACTCGCCGCCGTGCTCGTGATTCTGTATATTGGCCTGGGATGAACCACGACATCGAAGAAATGGTAAAACGCTGCTCTGAATGTCGAACTCTTCTTCCTGTCAATCCCAAAGAACCTCTGCAGCAACCACCTCTGCCCACACGACCTTGGGACAAACTAGGCGTTGACCTTTATAGTCTTAATGACCGAGAACACCTTATTGTCACGGACTATTTCTCCTCATTCACTGAAGTTTATGATCTTGGTAAAGACGCAACAGCACCAGCGTTGATCAAAGAACTCACGCAATTGTTCTCTCGATTTGGTCAACCTGTTGAAGTCGTATCAGACGGTGGTTCCCAGTTTACTTGCAAGGCCTTTGCAACGTTTGTTGAAAGTTGGACTTTTATACACACTGTATCTTCTCCTACTCACACTCAGTCAAATGGCAAAGCCGAAGCCGCGGTAAAGAATGTCAAGAAGCTCCTCAAAAAGTGTGGCTCTATGAATGACCAATTTTGGAAAGGTTTGCTGGCAATTCGAAATACTCCACTCTTATGTGGCAAGAGTCCTGCAGAATTGCTGCTTGGCAGAACACTCCACGATTCCCTCCCTCGTTATCCTGGTCCAACAACGTTAGGTAATGAGACGAACGCGAAAATCCCTGATATCAAGAAGAAAGAGAAAGATACCTATGATCAACATACTACCCCATTACCTCCTCTCCAGACTGGTACACGTGTAGCTATTCGTTCCCGCGTCGATTCCGATTGGTCACTACTTGGAACAATTGCTGAAATTAAACCGAATCGCACCTACATAGTATTAACCGACCAAGGATCGACATTCACCCGTAATCGAAGATATCTAAGACCTGCACCTTCCCCTGCTGGTAACAATACGTCTCAAGCTAATGACGAACAGAACCCAACCCCAACGACTAATCCAATGAGAGGAAGGCATGTGGGACTACGCGATCCATATAATTTAAGAAAGAGATGCCCTAAAAACTGAACTTGTGAAAGGACTATTATATTACTTATTGTTGACTTTGTGTTCTTACTGTTAACTAACTAATTGATATAGCGAAGAATATTAATTTTTGATAACTTTATATATGAAAGGAAAGGAGATGAGGTATTATTGCTTTTACATTATGTTCCATGAATTACTTATACTTATATAATATATTAGGAACATTGTAAATAATTAGATATAAATTATAATAAATTATTTTAAAATACAACAACACTCCACCAAACTCCACCACCGCAAAAAGGGGG